TCAAAAACGGTTTTAGTTGTAATACTATAAATGTAATATTTGTTGTATGTCATTGTAGCTGGGATAATTTTACTTATTAAAGCTCATGATCTTACCACTTGCAACATCACTAGCCCTGAAGCTGCTGGTAGACATCGCGGTTGGAATTATCAAAGGTTTTTGACGCCTGAGAGACACCGTACCAACTCCTTTGCGCTTGGAGGCGGGGGTGGGGGTGGGGGGAGGACCAGGGAGGATGATTTAATCACTCAACCACTAGATGTCGCTGAAAACAACAAATCCTACACACTGTGCCTTTAAATCAAAAACAAAATTCACGTTTCAAACTCAGATCTCCTGAAATCAATCTGGAACGTCGATTACACCAATCTGTCACACTCAGATTTTGCATTTTATTTTATACACCATATGTTACCTCTTGTGCAAATATCTGAGGAACAAATGAGATTTTTCTTCTCAAAATAGTTTCATCCAGAATTGTTTTATTTAAGCACTTCTGAAAGGTGGAATAGTTTGTTTCTAATTTCTTAGCTGAAACTGAAATGCTAAAAAACTAAAAGTAGCGAAAGGCTAGCTGAAAGTATAAAGGCTAGCTAAAAGCATCAAAATGCTTGCTATAAGCTAAAATTACCAAGATAATAACTAAATATAGCTAAGTATGAGAATAAAAAAACTAAATAAAGCAAAATGTCATTTAAAAGCTATCAAACAAAGCAATAAATAGCTAAAAGTAGCAAAAGGCAGGCTAAAAGCTAAAGTCACAAAAAGCTAACTAAATGTTAAACGTACAGTGTTTTTAAAAAAAACTGAAGAGAGCTCTGTATTTATTTGAGGAAATATTTTAGAATAAACTTAAATACATTAAAGGGTACAAGAGTTGCAAAACCAAAAGCCATCAAAACATCATTTTCTAAATAAAAAACTGAATCTTTTGATGAAAGTTAAAAATTAGCATTAAGTATGCAGAAGTAGTTACATTACAAAGAATAAAATAAAAATGAGTAGAAACAACCCTAAATCAGCGTTAACAGAATGGTAGAATATGACTTTTATGCTGTTTTTAGCAGAAGCATTTTTTGTTGCAAACATTAATTCTCTCTTCTTCTCTCCCCGCTCAGACACTGGGACCTCCATCGGCTCCTCGACCGCTGGCGGCCACCGCTCTCACTGGTGCAGTGTCGCTTACTGGGAGCAGCGAACGCGTGTGGGCCGCCTCTACCCGGCCCACGAGCCTTCACTCAGCATCTTCTATGACCTACCTCAGGGCACTGGCCTCTGCCTCGGCCAGCTCCATGCCAACACCTACCACAGGTGCCGCGACGACCCGGGCAGCCGCGGCACGGTGGACCTTTACAGACATCACAGCCACGGGGGCGCAGGAAACAGCAGCAGCAGCAGCAGTATACGACAGATTCGCAGTAAAATTGGCTACGGCATCGTGCTGAGTCGCGAGCCGGATGGAGTGTGGGTGTACAACCGCAGCCAGCACCCTGTGTTTGTCCACTCGCCCACTCTGGACCCACCCGGCTCTCGTGGGCTGAGCGTGAAGAGAGTGATGCCGGGTTTCTCCCTCAAAGTCTTCGATTATGAGTGCTCCAGCTGGATGACAGCAAACGGTGTGAAGCCTGACATCGAGGAGGGGCCCTGGGACCCCCACAGTGTCCAGATCAGTTTTGCTAAAGGATGGGGCCCTTGTTACTCCAGACAGTTCATCACTTCCTGTCCCTGCTGGCTGGAGGTACTCCTGAACAACCACAGATAGCACACAGACTCACAGTCCGGACTCAGTATCCTCAATGTAATCCACCTAGATTTAATATAAATTTATATATTATACAAAATATATTTTACATGTAAATACTTGAGTCATTTTTACAATGCAGTTATTTATGTATAGTGTAATGTGTATAAAGACAACATAAAAGGAACAAGAATATGCACTTTGATTCTATACATGCATTACAGATTTTCAGTGTCTTTTTGCAAATGTAAACTATAAGGAAAAAAACTCAATGTTCTCATTCGTTTTCATTTCTGACAAAACATGTTACACATTGTCAATAAAATATTTGTATTAAATTAAAATTTCCTGATTGAGCAGATACATATTTATCCTATTTTATTTTATTAGGACTTTATTTGTGATTTGCTTCCAGGAACCATATTTGTTGGAACGTTTTGAAAGTCCTGAGCAATAAATGGCGATTTATAGCCTTTTTTCTTAAATAAAAACTTAGAAATGAAGGCATTCATCTAAAAACGATCAGATACACTGACACTTAATAAAAAAAGGTAAAAAAAAAAATGTGTTGAAGAAATAAACTGAAAGACCTTCAGAAAAACATCAACTAAGTGTTGAAAGAAGCTATTTCTTAAAGAAATGCACATCACCCGTCCCGTCGGCTCTGATGCCAGAGTTTTAGCCTGAGTTCATGTTGTGTTGAGAAATGACAGCTTTGTGGCAGTTTTGATCAAACCTTGAAAACAAATTTATGGGCAGTTGACAAACGTGCAGAGTCATGACCCTCTGCACGTGACATCACGCTCTTCAGAAGGAGGCGCCATGATGGACGTCACAACAACAGCTCGTCACGGGTGGGTCCTCACAATAAATCAAAACAAACCCCCACACACTCTGATACATACAGTCCTCCAAGCAATATTTCATCTATAAAGCAAAGATTTTTAACTTAATAAAATACTGTTGATGTCTGAATCAGACCTGAGCTTTAACAACTAAATGTTTTGTTCTGAGCGTGTTGTCGACCTCATGCAAGACAGATTCGCCCAATTGGGACGGTTGAAAACACATTTTATCCTTTTTTCATTTTTACAGAAGACAAAAATCCATCTTGCTGACAGAGAACTTTAATCCTCATCTAATGTACTGGTTAGCTACGTCCAACTTTTGTAAATGAGCCCCAACGAGCTGGGCTTTTTCCACAGACAAATTAGCTCAACTTGACCAAGTAGAAGCYGTGGCTATACTCCCTAGTTCTCCCCTCCCTCACTTCCCACGACTGTCATGGCACCTCCACTTGATTGACGACAAAGTTCCAAAGGGTCATAATTCTTAACTTCAATAATTATAAAACTGACCAGTTATGCCCATGTACTGTTTTTGTTGGTTAAGGTCAGTTAACAGTTGTGGCCATCTTGAATTTGATTAAATTTATAATTAATCAGCTGTAGATGTGCACACAGTGATAACTTTCTGAAAGTTTCACTACAATTTCAGTTCAAAGTTCAGTAAATTGGCTCGGGTTGATTCTAACTTGGGTTGATACCAAACTTTTAGGAAAAAATCCCAACCAATGTCTAGAGCTCAAAGTTGGTGATGACTATGAGCTATGACATCAATAAATTTCAGCTTAATATATTTAAAACTGACTGAGTTTTAGTCATTTTTGTGTTTTCTAAGGTCAGTGGGGCGTGGCAGCCATCTTGACTTTGGTTTACTTCAAAAGATCTACATCCAGCGATTACTTCCTAAGAGTCTCATTAAAATCTGTGCAGTGGCTGATGAGATATTATGCTAACAGACACAAAACAAGCAAACACGTTTTCACCTTCTGCCTTTCAGTCATAAACTTTTGTGTAAAATGTGTGGAATACAAAGCATGACTGAGCCGCGGGATGAACATCGTCTCAGTGAGATGCAGTTAAAATCCCTACAAACCCAATGATCTTTGACCTGGGATTCAGTTTTTTACAGCATTAAGTTCAAGAACAAACTTGTTTGGTTCTGTCTGTAAACACTTTATTATACCAACACTGAATGTGTTCAAACCGTGTAATTAAGCTTTAAGTATAATCTCAACATTAAAACTAGCAGCGCTGGAAAACAGTAAAAATAAAAAAACAAAAAAACATGGAGCCAGTGGTAAAAAAAACTAAAGAGCATAGCTGAAAGATTACACAATAAAACCACAGTGTGGCGCTCAGGCCCAAACCATCTTGGGTAGGAGAACGTTTTGTGTTTATAGCATAATGGCATCCTGACAACACAACTATTTGTGGAAACTTACATTTAAGTAGGAACAGTGAGCTGAAAACAGTAATGCCAGCAGTAGAAAGCAATATATAKCTAAAAAAAACAACAACAACAACCTGAATTTAGGAAGAGAAGCGACAGCTCAAGCTTCTACTGACTTCAGACATTTTTTTTTTTTTGTTTCGACCCAGAACTTGTGCAGGCTGCCTGCTGAAACCTGTAATTAGCCTGGAAAGCAAAGAGAATTTGATTACAAAGTCGCAGCACTCCCGAGGACGCCAAATTAAGCAGTGCAGAGTTCAAAAATCTCTCCGGAGTTACAGTCAAACCTCAAAACAGAAGCTCCTAGCGCTGTGCATTCACAAAAAGTGACATTTATTTACTGAAACAACATTATTTTAGATTTAAACTCTGGTTTGTWGAAGTTGATAAAAGGTTTTCTAAAAGGTTTTGGTGCATACCCAAACGCCCCATACAGGAAAAGAAAAAAAAATTCCAATGTATATTTCAGTCACGACTCCGCTTTGCTTTTCCAGGCAAAGTGTAGGATTTGTGGTTTGGATTCAGTGAAAGGATTCAGAGGAGGGGCTGGGGTGGGAGAGTTGCTGCTGGCAGGACTTGTTCAGAAACCTACCATGTTTATTTTCCATTCCTACCCCCCCCCCCCTCTCATCTGAGAACACTCTAGCCCATTTTTCTGTCCTAATTGTTTTGCTTTGTTCGGATTTACTGTCATGAAGGCGATGAAATGGATCCCAGGCAGTGGAAGCAGCGGAGGAGGCTTTTGGCCCCTGCCTTCAGAGCGACGGGGGCCGCTGACCTCGTGTTGAACTGAAGGAAAACTGGTTAATTTTGCCGCAGCGTTGTGAGCTCCACCTCGTCACTGTATAATTATCCCGGTACAGATTATAATGCTATTAACCTAATGAGTACAYGAGGCGTATTTAATTAATGGAACACACAGTTTCTGTTTTTGCAACAAATAAGATGAACGACTGCTTCAAAAGAGTGTTTCAAGATGTTTACTTCTTGACATATAAGGTTTTATTTGGACTCATCGTGGAGCATTTTTTGATACAAAACCTAGAGCATGTTTCTTTTATCCTGGGGGTTCAGGATCTTGTTGAGTTTTGTAAATKAAAAATACCAAATTCTGCTTTTAAGACTTATTTTCTTCAGTTTTTGGTGTGTTATCGGTGTACATGTAAAGGTCTGCACATTTCTAAATTCAAGCTGACACTAAAAGTCATCCTTCAAAAGTTCACCTCAATGCCTCTTAATGGTTCAAGTTTTCACCATATGTGCAGAAATCTGGATTAATAGTAGGGATGATTCTTATTCACTTTTGGAAATACAGAAAATGTGAACTAAAGCAACAGTTTTGTGAAGTTGGGGTGCACAGGGTGCTATAACCTGTTGAATGCTGTGGACCTCCACGCTGAGTGGCAAAAAGCACCCACTCAGCACAGAAGATAGTTTGAATAAAAATGTGATCATTTCAAAGCCACAGTGAGAACATTTCTCAGTTTTATATCTGGCAACCCTGGATGGAGACTAAAGGAAGATAAAGACAGAGAATTAGAGTGAGTAGGCAGGTGTGTTTCTAGTTGAGTACTTCAGCTGCAGATTCAAGATGGTAAGTACTGTAGACTGGTTTTGGTTCACGAGAGGATGTTCAGTAGGCTGAACAGGGGAGAAGTTTGCAACAAGGAAATATAAAGTAAACATTAACGCTACGAATCAGTATTTCAAAAGATAAAATCACTTAGAAACCAGGATCTCTGAAGTGTCTTTAACATCTGSTAAAGAGAAGTGTCCCAGTTCAAGCTTAAATGTGAGTGTTTGAGTAGAAATGATTAATTTCAGGAGGGAGAGACGACATCTGCTGGGCAACATCAAAACTGCACAAACTTCACCTGAGTTGACAGGAAAGAAGGAGCTGTGTCCTCAGGATAGCCTCAACAAGAAACAAGAATTGTGTGAGTAGTTTTTTGATGGTTATTTTGTTTACTGTCTTGRTAATAATAAAACTTTGCTAGTTATATAAGCAGAATGTCACAGCAGTTCATATAACTGGTTAGTGTAATAGGATATGAGTTTGTAGTGCTTCTGTTTCATTTTAAATTCATTACATACATTTGTGGACTTTTTTWAAAGTAAACTTTTAAATAAGTGCTATATAAATACAGCTCTAAAAAATTAAGAGATCACTTTAAAATAATCAGTTTCTATGATTTTGCTCTTTATAGGTAGGTATATGTTTGAGTAAAATGAACATTGTTTTTTACTCTAAACTGACAACATGTCTCTGAAATTCCAAGCTAAAACTTAGTATTTTTTTGCAGAAATTTATATATAAGTGGAGCAGTGGGATGTCTTGCTCCACAACAAATGGGCATGGTAGGGATTCAAACGTGTGACTTTTCATTCCCAGGTCAGCTGTCACTGTGCCACAGCCGCCCTAAAAAACAGGACCTTTAACTGTTATGTAACATTTTTTAATCAATGCACTGGTGGGTCTGATTTTTTTTAAATCATTTTGTAGATGATCAGCACCATACAGAAACCTGAACGCAGCGTGAAGGAGAGACACACCAGATCCTCTTCTTCTTCTTCTTCTTCTTCTTGGTCRTGTTTTGTCACTTCGCTGCTCAGAGTGAGCGTGGATCGATACCTCTGCTGTCTGTGTGTGAAACCGCAGACAGCTCAAACATCCACTCACTGCTTCGTGGCTGATTTCATGTCAGCACTGATTTCTTTCTGCGACCAAATAGTCCTGACGGACAAGCCCAAATAATTTTTTTTTTTAAATCAGCCGCTCACTCATTTCAAACCAGATCAYAAACAACTGTCTGTCAGCCATGTGTGGATTTGTTTTATGTTTGACCRGTAAGCAATCAATTATCTTTCTTTTTTATTTGTTGCCTTCACTGTCTGCTTTATGTCGACTGCCAGAACACGTGGTTTTCATTTTCTGTAGATTTGAGAAAATAAATGTTGACCTGATCCTAGTTGTGAATTTAAAAAAAAGTGATAAATTCCATGTCAAATTCATTTTAGACTCATTCCCTCCCATAGCCAACACATAACAAGAGATTTATCTGTTTTTA